GTGGCATAGATTCAACAAGGTGCTGGAAACATTCCTCAGAGATTTTGGTCCATATTGACATGATAGCATCACACAGTTGCTGCAGATTTGTCAGCTGCACATTCATAATGTGAATCTCCCGTTCCACCACATACCAAAGGTGCTCTATTGGACTGAGATCTGGTGACTGTGGAGGCCATTGGAGTACAGTGAACTCATTGTCATGTTCAAGAAACCAGTTTGAGATGATTTGAGCTTTGTGACATGGTGCGTTATCCTGCTGGAAGTAGCCATCAGAAGATGGGTACACTGTGGTCATAAAGGGATGGACACGGTCAGCAACAATACTCAGGTAGGCTGTGGTGTTTAAACCATGCTCAGTTGGTACTGAAGGAGGATGGTACCTGAACCGTTGATACAAGGCAGGATGGATCCATGCTTTCATGTTGTTTACGCCCAATTCTGACCCTACCATCTGAATGTCGCAGCAGAAATCTTTTTCCAATCTTCTATTGTCCAGTTTTGGTGAGCCTGTGTGAACTGTAGCCTCAGTTTCCTGTTGTTAGCTGACAGGAGTGGCACCTGGTGTGGTCTTCTGCTTCTGTAGCCCATCTGCTTCAAGGTTCAACGTGTTGTTGGTTCAGAGATGGTCTTCTGCAGACCTTGGTTGTAACCAGTGGGTATTTGAGTTACTGTTGCCTTTCTGTCATCTTGAACCAGTCTGGCCATTCTCCTCTGACCTCTGGCATCAACAAGGCATTTTCACCCAGAGAACTGCTGCTCACTGAATATCTGCTCTTTTTCGGACCATCCTCTGTAAACCCTAGAGATGGTTGTGTGTGAAAATCCCAGTAGATCAGCAGTTTCTGAAATACTCAGACCAGCCCGTCTGGCACCAACAACCATGGCACCTTCAAAGTCACTTAAATCACCTTTCTTCCCCATTCTGATGCTCGGTTTGAACTTCAGCAGGTCGTCTTGACCATATCCACGTGGCTAAATGCACTGAGTTGCTGCAACATGATTGGCTAATTAGCTATTTGTGTTAAGGAGCAATTGGACAGGTGTACCTAATACAGTGGCCGGTGAGTGTAATCTGCAACCTGTCAGTTCATTTTTGATTTCCAGAGGGTGTTATCAATGGCAGTAGATCAAAATGCCTCTGGACACAATTCGATAGACCCAAACCCCACAGAGCAATGAAACACCTGACATAGTGCTGAGAAACCAACAAATGCAAACAGACTACTACAGTGTGCAGAGATGAGCTACGATGGTGTAGCATCAACATGTTGGTGAATGACTGTTGCTGTCAGGATTTGAAAATAGTTTAGCTACTCATATCACAAGATCACCTCCCCTGTGTCATCTGTGCACAGGCAATAAGGACCCTTGGAATGAATCTCATAAAAAATATATTGACCTTTCTTTGAGCGCCGCAAGGAAGTGCATTTCAATCCACTGGAAATCTGATCACCCCCCCCCAATAGTACGACATTGGTTAAATGAAATGACAGGCTACATCCCAATGGATAAAATCTATAACATAAGATATAAGAGTCAGGACTTTTTGAAAACATGGCAACTGCACATATATTTTATGGCAAGAAGGGCAGCTCTGGAGACTATTGGTTGATACACTGTATTATAATGCATTTGTTGTTTGTGGTCATATATGGCAATGTCAAGCTTTCAAGTGCAAGAGCAGAGAAAGCTATGCATATTTGTATGATGTATTTTCATTTGCCTATTTTTTGTTTAACTCAGTATAAACGTGTGAATGACCTGAAGTGGGCCATGTCGGGTGGAAATCCATTTGAATGGGGTTGGGACCAGGGAAGATAAAAAATGTCTTTTCACAGCTCTTCTTCTTTTTTGGGGACACAATTCAGTCAGGATTCACAACAGCACTGAATCAGCTTCCCTCAGGGTGACAAATCATTTATTGATGTCTTTGGACTTTGAAAATGATGCCATTTTAATTCAGCTGGAGTTCTTGGAGACAATCCGACAGAAAAGAACAATCAATGCTGTAAAATGTGTAAACCATGATGCTGGCACTCAGACTTCACAGTGATTTGCCTCTTAGCTACAACACTGATCAGTTAAGGAAAGGATTGATAGCTTTTCTTTTCCTCTGTACCCATGTCCCTGTGGCGTACCACAGGGTTACATTTCAGAGCCCATTTTTTTCTGATGAAATGAGCCTTCAGTGGGATCTATTTACAGAAATTGTGACATTTCTTATCCTTGTTAGACTGAGAATCTGCAGCTTAGTGAAACCTGCTCACCCTCATATTCAAATCCCAGCTGTGTCATAAGTGGTAGGTTTTTCCACCTTGGAGTCAGAACTATTGAGAAATTAAAACTGTTTCTCTCATTTAGGGACCTAGAGACATGCATTTATCTCTTCACCTATTGATTACTGTAACTCTTTGTGTGGGAGTTAGTCAGTCAGTCGGTCTTGTCTCGCCTGCAGCTTGTTCATCATGCAACAGCAAGGCTCCTCAGGAAGAGAGACCATCCCTCCCCTATGCTGGCCTCCCCTTATTGGCTGCCAATTAAATAAAATTGATTTTAAGACCGTGAGTAGACACCAGTGTATATTTCCACTTCCAGAACCCTTCGATCTTTTTTTTTTTTTTATCAGTGTTTCCAGTCCATTCTTTTTGTGTTATGTACATAAAATATCTTCACTTGACTTAAAATTTAATTACCTTTAGAAGTGGTTACCGGTATGTTACATACATACTGTATGGAGGTAAGTACCTTTAGTGCCTCCACCTCAGTCCAAATGATGGACTGAGGCAATATCCCTGGGGCTATTAACCTCTATACCTATTGTGAGTTTTAATTGCCTCCCTCAGTTACACAAACCATAAAACTAACACATTAACTGACTAACCATTTAATCACCCTGACAAACTCAGTTTACAGCAGAGGTGACTGCCCACAATCACTATACATTATCATTACTGTGGCTTTTAATCTATAGAGGCCAGCCAGGTAGATCTCAGTCAAAGGTAACAGCAAGAGGACATATGGTAGTATAGACACTATCAGTCACACAGCAGCTGTTGTATCTGTCAAAACACATATGCTACCTTGAGAATCTATAACGTGCTGTCTGTATAGCCATATACAGTATTTTCCTATCCTTCACGGATCATTTGGCTACATTAGCTCACATCCAATTACTTGAAACATGACAAATAGGTGCCATTAAAACATCATAAAAACCAGATACTAATTAAGTCTTCTCTGTCCCCACCAAACCTTAAAATAAACGAATTGCCAATCATACAGAAGATTATGTATAGTAATGAGTACAGCTGTGCCACGCTGGCAACACAGACACAGTGGGGACTGTTTAGTTTTTTGGCAACAGCAGAGCACTATGCCTTCACATCACCCTCATGGTGAAGTACTCCAAATTGCCAAAACACTTTGGCCTGGATCATTGAGGCTGTTGGCGGGTGAACTTTCTTCTTTTTTTGTTTCCGTAGAAAATAAATAGCATCACTGAATAACAGGCACCAGTGGACAGATGCTGATGATTGTATGTCATAATAAAACAGTTGTCTCATTTGTTTCTTGTCTGCCCCAGTTTCATTCCTGCTCGAACAAAGGCCTGTAATGCTGCGTTCGAAGATAAGAGGAAGGGATGTGATATGAGACACACTTTTGAAAGTAATCAGACACGAACTCCACTAAGAACACATGGCTGCCGCTGAATAAACTCTCTTGGTATTTATTCTTGACAAACCTTACGCCGAATGTGTGCACACAAACACAAGAAACAGCAAAGGATCTGAGGATGTTTACACAATCTGTATCCAAATGGAGGATAGACACAGAGCAGCTGAGCTGCAGGCCGCAGGGCCAATAAGAAGTAATGATACCTAATTAAATGGGACAGAGCATGTTCCCGTGCTGGCTTGGCATGGATGAAGTGTGGTGCATCACAGCACGTCACATGATTCAGCAAAATTACAAGCATGAGGTAATGCTGCTTCTGTCTTCCTGTCGGTTTTTGATTAAATTTACTGTGTGATGGTTTGCATGTGTCCTGGCATCCTTGGGAGCAGTGGTCAGTGCTGATAATATGCCACGCCTCATTGGATGCTAAGGTCCAATGAGCCTCTGAAAAGCCATCATTGCACATGCAAACCTTACACACACCATGTATCTATACTTCAGCTGCAGGAGAGAGATGGAGAGAGGAGGATAAAGAGAGGGGGGAGCAGGAATGATGAAAAAATGGAAGAAAATGAAGAATGAAAGCGCTGTGTGGAGGTGTGATAATCACTAGGCAGCAGATATGGAATTAACTGGCTGCTAATAAGCCATTCCTTCAGTCAGATCAGCGGTGGGCTTTACAACCAGCATTTCCAATTTGAATGGAGTTTGAGGAGACCTGCGCACTGATTGGCTAAAGGTCCAACTGCTCATTTTCTATGGGATGCGCTGTGATCATCTGAGTGCAGACTGAACCCATCCCACTCTCTGTCTCTTATCCTCCGTGGCCACCACCCCAGTACAAACGCCAGAAGTCCTACACCAAACAGAGCAGCGTGGCTCACCTGTCAAATTCTGACCCTTTAGAGTGGCTCTTTTTCTTTTCCCCAGGCTCTCTCATCTTTTGGAATATAAGATGGAAAAGCCATAAATCATCTAGGTATTATTTATAACCGATAGACAGCAGAGAATCACAAAATGAATTGCTCTATATATTTGCCATGTGCCATGTAACAGTTCAGCTTCTCGCGTTGCGCAACAGGTCTTACCCTTTTTTCTAATGAGGGACAAAGCCATATTTTAGGTTGTAGGAGGTGCACAGGGTACAAAGTAAAACATCAAAGTTTGTAAAGCAGCAAAATATCCTAAATGCTGAAACTCAAAGCCTATTTATTTATTTATTTATTTCCCATCTACTGGTACATGCAAATTACGCGCGGATACAAAGATATGGAGATACCCATCACCTGATTACACCAGGGCAACAAAAAAGAAACACCTACCGGGAATAGCCAGGTTGGTGAGCGGAATAGTGTGCATGCTCTGCGGTAAACTTGCCATCCAGTCTGCAAACCGCATGTCGCTTCTCCCGTGAGACGAAGCCATGCTGCCGCCGTGCACAACACTCCGTTCTCCCGGACCGGTGCCTGCGCCAACCTGGAGTGCGCTCTCTCTCTCTCTCTCTCTCTCTTTCTCTCCACACACACCCAAACACACTCAAACACACACACACACTCTCCCTGCCTCTCTCTTTATTCTCTCTCTCTTAAACACGCATACACCAGCGCGACAGAGAGCCAGTCCCCCCCCCTCCCCCCCCTCCCCCCCGCGAGCAGCAGGCTACACACATCGGCGCATGGCACAATTATGAAAATGCATTGTGTTGGATCGATTCAAATATGGCAACAGCTTTCCAATAATACACCGCAGCACCACTGTAATGAGTGCATGTTTCAGTTTTACAGTGACCTAATCTGACATCGATAGTAGCTTTCAGCATTATTCTCAAAACGAGGCAAGGATAGGATACCCAAAATCCACGCCTTTTCTCACAAGGGTTCACAGAATGGCGGTCAGAGACCCACCAGTGTCTGCATGTGAAACCTGTTGTGGAACAGTGTGGAAATGGGTGTATGCTAATTTTGTAGTATGAAGTTATGATTTTTTTTTTTTATGATACACTATTTTGAGCATTTCAACCACTAATATTACTAATAATAAAGATTTCAAATATGATCCCACTAGCCTGCTTAAGGAGCAGTAATGATTGTAGCTAAATATGCACATATCCTTGAAGTGACAGAGGTGTGCAGTATTAATGAAGTGCATCATCTAATTTCTCGCATGCAAAGTACTGGGGCTGAAATTAAATGTTAGCTCCAAATACTGGGGTTGAATTCTAATTCCCAATTGACCTAGAAGCACGTCTGAGGTCACGCATTTGGATGACAGAGTCCCATGTGGCAGTGATTCATTAGCACTGCAATTAATATGACAGTGACAATGAATAACTGACATATTCACTGTGGCTGATGATCAGCTAGCTGGGCACCTTAGAATGAGTCATTCAACAAACTAGGCCACAACGGCATAAAGATGGAGAATATACCAAAAATTGCATATTTATAGAGGTTTGCATCACAGTGTTTGGCTGAATGTTACATTTTTTGTCCCCCATGGGAGGCTTTTCAGACTTGTGTTCAGTGCAAACTGGGTGACCGTTTTAGGGTCTGCCAAGCTTTGGTTTTTGGTCAGTTTCCAACTTGGTTGTGTTTCTGCATTCATGTTTGAGGACTGACATAGAGGAAGGGTCGATCTTTAAAAAAACACTGGAGACAATGAAAATCAATACTGACACAGAACCACCCTGCCTAATCAGAAATTACCGACATATAGAGACTGTCAGATAATATGCTTTGCCTGGATATAGACCGAATATCACTATTTAATCATCCATTGATTCCATTTGTTCCTGGTTGGAGGCTACATCCATAAGTGATCAGCATTGTCAATACAAAAGGAACAATAGCCACACTCATACACACATAAATGTGGTTTGGTGTGGCGTCTGCAGTGATGTGGGAGCTGTCGCAGCAAAGCTTTCAATTTACTGGTCCATCTACGTCCCAACCCTCACCTAGGGTCGTGAGCTTTGGGTAGTGACCAAAAAATTAAGCTGCGGATACAAGCAGCCGAAATGAGTTGTCTGCAGAGGGGAGCTCGGCTCAGCCTTAGAGATAGGGTGAGGAGCTCGTACATCTGGAGGGAGCTCGGAGTAGAGCCGCTGCTCCTTCGTGTCGAAAGGGGCCAGTTAAGGTGGTTCGGCCATCTGGGCAGGATGCATCTGTGAAGAATGCATCTGTGACGCCTCCTGTTAGAGATGTTTCGGACACGTCCAACTGATAGGAGGCCCCAAGGCAGACCCAGAACACACTGGAGTGCTTATTGTCTGGCCTGGGAACGCCTCAAGATCCCCCAGAAGACGTCTGGAGTACTCTGCTCAGCCTGCTGCTCCTGCGACCTGGCCCTGGGTCAGCGGTTGAAAATGGATGGATGGATGGATGACCATACTCTGGAGAAATGGGTGCTTTAAATAAGGAGGCCAAAATAGAGTTCCAGCATATGTTCCATCTTAAAATTCCAGACTTTTCCAAACTCAAATTTCCAGACTTCTTGGTTGATTTTTCAGACCATTTTGACACCTATGTACAAATAGCTAGATCCTTATCACGTAAATAAATGGTTTTAAAATCCAACTGTAAACATGTACGTTGCATTCTGATTATGCATGCTATTATGTTGCTAAATAATTGCCTATAGATTGTAGCCAGGTACCTTAGCTCACTGTTCAGTCCATACTCCTATGCAGAAAGTTGGACAACGTTCCACCATCAAACATCTCCGCCCAAAGACAAAGTAAACTACCCGGTGCTACCTATGCTTGTATTATTTTCCCTTTATGTACTGAATAAATAGGGGTGTTCCCAACTAAGAATTCTAGTCGAATCTAATCATGTTTTTCTCTTTTGCTCCTTGATTCATAGTGTTTGTTTGATTCACATTGCTCACTGCATGGTGGTGCACTTGTTAGCATTGTCGCCTCACAGTCAGTGGGTTCCTGGTTTGAACGCTAGGTGGGGGATTTGATCCCTGGGGTGGGGGATCCCTTCTGTGTAGAGTTTGTATGTTCTCCCCATGTCAGCGTGGGTTATCTCTGGGTACTCCGGCTTCCTCCCACAGTCCAAAGACATGCAGGTTAATTGGTGACTCTAAATTGTCCGTAGGTGTGAATGTGAACGTGAATGGTTGTCTGTCTCTATGTGTCAGTCCTGTGATAGTCTGGTGACCTGTCCAGGGTGTACCCTGCCTCTCGCCCAGTGTCAGCTGGGATAGGCTCCAGCAACCCATGACCCCTAATAGGATGAGTGGTCACGGAAAATTAATGAATGATTCATACTGTCAATAGTGACACTGAAAAACAAAAATACTTTTAGAAAAAACAGTAGGAGCAATAGTGTTAAGACAAACACTTTTTCTATTCTCTCTTTTCTTTTTTCTCCATACTTGTCCAGATCTGGGCATTATTGAAATAAAATTCCAGTATTTTTTCCATTCTGCACAGGAACCCTGCCAAAAGCAAAAGTGCACCCAGAACTGTGCCCACGATGGCTAAATAAACACTCCAGAATAGCCACCACTTAGAGTAGGTATCATTCAATGCTAACCACTCAATCAGCTGATTTTATGGACTTACATTTTACATGTATTGCACAACTAATGTTCAAACCTATTTGTTTAAAAGCCTGCCATGTTTTTTCTTTCAAATTCATTTTAATTGCACTTCAGTACCAGCTTGAGAAATAGGTTACTAAATGTAGGCTTATAGGGTACCACTCCAGTTTGACTCATGAAGAGATGTGCTGGATTAACATCAACAGCCAGTGGCAAAAGCCCCTGTCACTTTCTTCCATTTTTCTGCTTGATGATCCAATCCAGTTGATCTCCTTGAACCCAAAAGCCCGCTGGCTGAATTCTCCAGTTATGTAACCGCCCTCAGGTAATGGCAGCGTCTCTCTACTCGAGTGGAGAAATCACATCAAGAATGTCAATGCAAGTGCACCCTCCATATATAGAAAGCTCTAACCTGTAGAGTGTCAGAAGCCATTTGCTTTCAAGCATTGTGCGACTTGATGAATAATTTGAACACACAGGCACAACTACTGTTGGTTTTTAAGATAGTTTCTATCCAGAAATCAGCAGATTTAAAAAAAGGAAACAATACAATTCCACTCAGCACATAAGGTTGTATTTTATTGTATAAACAAAGACAAGAGGACAGCCTGTGTAAAAAATGTTAAGGCTTCATATTTTCTGGCTAAAATGTATGGTATGCGCACTAACTCTGAAATGCATGAACCTGAGGAAAAAAAAAAAAGATAGTTCACAAAACAGTTTGATAGTGTGGCATTGGTTATTATTACAAACATGTTTCAGCCACTCTTACTGCTGCATCTTTATTTTTTTTGCATTTATATTTTCCAGAATAAAATATATCTCACAACAGATGTAAGGACATTTTTGTTACTTGGCGTGACACAAGTTTACACAACTGCAGTAAAAACCGTTTCCCTTCTTTGCTGAAAAAGCATAACCTGACCTGAGCACACATTTGTTGTCTAAATTCATCACAATTCAGCTCTCTATGTCCTGATACATTAAACTGTTGATCTATGATAAATATGATTCAAGTAATTGTGTATTTTTTGTTCATTGTACAAGTCGCAGAGAACATATAATGAATATTTCCATTTTTTTTTCCTTTTCAGATGGATTATTTGGTTAAAGCTGCACATATCGGTAAAAATTAATAAATTAATGGTGAAATAGGCAACAATGTAATGTTCCTTAACTGTCTGCCCGATCAGATCCCAAACAAGAACCATGCATGTGGCTCCGGTGAATCTCATTCAGTTCATATAGTGAAGACTAAATCCTTGTTATATTGATCGATTACAAGGGAAATGAACCATACACTTGTGTAAGCATATCTGAACTGTCTCAGGCTGCTAAATCGCCGGTCGTTTACCACAGAGAAATGATGCGAGCGTCACACAAACCAAAAACATTTGTCAGATCCAATGCGTGCTCCTCTAGATTTGCTGCATGGACCTCAGGTTGGGAGACACCTAGAAGACACGGAAAGATCACAGAGATGTCTCATGGTTACCATACTTGAAGTTCGGAGATTAAATGTAGTGCTAGTAGCCACACTGTTTAGTTACTTACCTCGAAATCGGTGCCAGTGCATGCTTTGATATCCTCAGGAGTGAGTCCCTCCCATACTTCTATCAGAGTCAGGCCTTTTGTCTTATCCACATCAAACACAGCCTGGCGAACAGAAACAAGGCGGAAAGAAAGGGAGAAGGGGCAAGAAAAAAAAAAGGATGAGATGTTAAGACAGTCAGGTTGGGTGACTTCCTTCATAGATGGGTCTGAACAAGAGGTGGATGTAGCCACTGTGATGTCACCCATTGGTTTGTGGACTACCGTTTTCGGGCCTTGAGTTTGGCATTTTGACTGACGCTAACTTGATTTTTTGGAGCCAGAGGTGGCCATATTTGGCCACAGCACAAACTTGCCAATCATAAGGTAGCCTCGTCCTAAAGCATACCCTACCTTATCATCTTTTTTACACTTAATGGGACCAGAATTTACAAAAC